TTAGACAACAGATTTATTATTTCAGATCAATTTAAATGTTACATATTTTGAAGTAACATTTACCCATATAACTTTAATTTAAAATCATGGGCTTTTAGTAACGCCATATAGGCTGAGAAACACGACAATAACGTTATGAACCTAGTGAGCATATTGTGTGAACCATACTTAAGGAAGTCGTTATAGTTGTTAGTGGTAGTGGGATCACTTATTTGATAAATAAGTCTAAGCATGTATAACAACGAAAGTTGATCCCGCAACTGTTGAAGAAGATAATCTATAAGAAAAAGAAAACTTAGTGARTTGTAGAGCAAAGTTTCAGTTTTCTTGGTCACATAGTTGACAAGAAGGACATCTAAGTAAAAGCCAACAAGCTTAGAGGTCATGTCAGATTTAAAGCAACCAAGATTAGTAACTAGGATAGGTGTTTATTTGGGTTACTAAATATTGTCGAGGATTCATTAAGAGTTCCGTAAGTTGCATATTTTAATGTCAGCATTCACCTAAACAACACAGCGAGTTGGATTGAGGTTAGAAGGAATAAGTATTTTAGTTACTGGAAGCAAAGGTAAAGTTATGAAAAAAAAATATTGATGGTTGTCACAGTACTAGAAAACATTGTGGTTTTCAGTGATAATTTGAAGTTCAAATTAGACTTAGTATTGATGCAACGAGGCAAGTTTGTCGCTTACACGTTAAGTCAACTGTATGAACATGAGAATGTTAATCCGACAGATGATTGGGAGTTAGCAACATGGTAATTGCACCTAAGTTTCATAAATATTATCACCAAGGCTCAAAGTTTATTTTGTACACATATCACAATAGTTACAAACCCATGTTTAATTAGAAATGGGAAACTTTGGCTAAAGATATTGTTTAGCTTTATTGAATAATTATGATGGTGAGATTCATTATCGTCCAGGCAAAGAAAGATAAAGAATTGATCAAATTACGAGTTGTAAAGATAGACATCAGATTGAGTTCGAAAGATAAAACTCAAACAATATGGTAAGAAACTCTTTGATCAGAGAATGCTAAGAAATAAATAATGATTTACCACCTTGAGTTGCTATTAGTAAATTCAGATGAAATCTTGTAACTTTTGGAGCAAAATATGGACTCTAGCATGATAGGTCTGAAAAGTAATGTAATAAGGATTATGTAAATCGTTGTGCCTAGAACACACTGATAGAGATAAGATATATGAAAAAAAATTTGAAAAATTATTTTAGAGTGTAAAAAAAAGGGACGTTAAAATGTCAATTAAGTGATAATAAGTCAGGGAAAGCTTCGAGATTCGGCAAGGACTAGTATATGCCTAAGGGCCTAGGTACGAAGTCAAATTAGTGAAACAAACATTGGTTTGAGATCTTTCTAGTAAGGTAAGTGATGCAACATGTGTTCCCTACCATATAGAGAGATGGCATGGCAAAGGTAGAGCATGTACTATAAGTTATGATGCAATACCTCAACAATATTTAGTATGAATGTTAGTTAAGCATTAACGTCTTTAGCAACGATTAGTGTATCTATCAAGTATGCATCAAACTATCAATAAGAACATTGACATTGTGTATCATGTTCGATAAAGTATCATGAGTAGTGCTTACCTATCGTCCATCATGTTTGATGAATACTTCCAACAATGTTCAGTTATGGAATGATACATTTAATAATTTCATTTTCAACCATAAAAGTTATGTTTGCATAACTTCTGCATTAGATGCATGAAAGTGCAATACTCACATATGTTACCAGTATAAGATAAATAACAACTTGGGTATAATAGAAATGCATAGTACATGTAAAGTTATGCCAATGGGAGAGTACAGATCAAGGATGGATGGATGGATGTTAAAGACATCACTTTGGGAGGGCATGATCGTATTGTGGTAAGTAAAGTAAATAAGGTCCAAAGTATTTTGGACAAAAGAGTTAGTGTAAGAACTCATAGAAGTAATCAACCAAGTTGGCCAACATAGTTACAAAGTGAACAATCGATATTTTATATCGAAATCGAGGAAGTTTTAGCTGATAAGTCACCTGTTATAAGTTTTGACAAAGTGTCGAAGTCATCAACAAACTCAATTATGTAGAAGATATTGTTGATTTGTATTGGTCAGGAAACGAAAGATCGAAGAACAAGACTACATCTTTGGAACTAGTAATGATATTAAATGAATTGGAACTTCTATGGTTCAAATGTCATGCTAGTTGAAAAATAGATAAGAACTAAGAATTCTTATTATCTTAGCCAATACAATTCCGAAGACGAAATTTCTTAAAAAAAGGGAGATTTGTGACACCCCAAAATGAGATAAATAAATAAATTAGAAAGCAAAAAGAACAAGAAAAATAAAATAAAATGAGTTTTATTTTATTGGAAAAATAATAATAAAATATAAACATATTTGAAAATCAGATTAAAAATTAAGGAAAATGTCATAATAGGGGTGAAATGTGTAAAGATGTCAAAAGTAATAGAGCTAGGGGACCGAATGCATTTTTATGAAAGTTAAGGGGTTGGGTCAGATGTTAACAGGTCCAAACCAGAAGGACCTGTTTTGTAAATATATCAGATCTGCAAATTCAGAAACGTGAAAACGACCTCTCCTTTGAAGCTTTATATCAATTCGAATTTTCAACTATTAACACAAAAAAAGAATAGATATATGTAGCCAACACTTTGCTCTACACTTTTGCTTCAAGAAAACCGAAGTTTCATCGGGTTTCGAAAGAGAAATCGGAGGTTGAAGTTCGAGTTCGAATAGCTCCGTTTATTGACGATTGGAGGTAAAATACTCAACCAAATTTTGAGTTCTTTATATGGTTGACTTCATTTTTAGGTTCACTATGAAACCTTAGTAGCCTTATGTCTCAGATTTTAGTTTTGGATGTTCGATTTTGAGTTTTTTTTACTGATTTTCGAGTGGTTTTAAGACCATAACTTTAAACGAGCGTATGAGACTCAATACTTGATGGTTTTCGTTGATTTTTGTTCCTATGATTAAGGAAAATCATTTTCTTGAGTTCTAGCAAAAAGAATCAATGAAAACGAACAAAAAACAAGGTCAATCGGCCTGAAGAAGCTG